GTCTGTCTCTCTCTCTGTCTGTCTCTCTGTCTATCTCTCTCTCTCTCAGGGGCCTGTCGAAGAGGGAGATTCGGAACGGAAGCGGTTTTGTCTCCAAGAACCTTTTTGACGAGGAACCAGAGACGACTAACAAGGAGTGAATAAATTGGATAGCGGCTCAAAATGTCTCCAGCAGTGGCACTTAAAGAAAAATTGTAGCTGGGAAAAACATCGTTGTTACTGTATTCTGTAGAATTGTTTACCCGCCGAGAGGATCAGGGTTCAGCTCCTTATGACGGGAATCAGGGAGGGATTTCTCCAGAGGCTGCCAGGGAGATAGCCAAGCCCTGGCGCCAATTATTTCGGAGACCTTCTCGGCAGCTTTTAGCCAGGACTTTCACGCATGGATGTTCCTGGAGCCCAGGACCCAACAACAGGGTCGATTTTAACATGAGAAGCGGGACAGGGGAATCTCTTTAAGCCTGACTGCAAACAGAACAGAAATATAGGTGGTGACAGAGACCCCAAATTAAAGCTGGTGCATCTCTTCATGATTGCGTTTCAGTTAGGGCTAGGTCAAACATTTTTTATTCTTTGTCTCTAGGGTATTGGGGGATTGTGTTTTACCATTTTGTTGTTGTTGTTATTGTTGTTGTTGTTGTATTTAGCAGCTTTGCAGAAAGCTGGTTGGTTAACCACAGTGGCTTTTCTCTTATGCTGATGTCTTGGTCACACTAGTCCTAGTTTGAATATTTTCATTTGTCAAATTTTTTTAAAGTATTTTCTTCTGCTTCATTGCTAAAGCTGCCATCAGATATACACTAAACGGTTACTTTTCATCCAAGCTGTCTCTGTCCCATTTCTCCATTTGCAACAACGGTGTGAATGTGTGAAGCCCTGGCACTTCATCTTTAGCCCTCTTTCTCGCTTTTTTTTCTTTCTCTCTTTCTCTTTCTTTATCTATTTAATCTATCTAATCTTTCTTTCTCTCTCTCTCTTTCTCTTTCTTTCTCTCTTTTCCTTCCTTCCTTCCTTCCTTCCTTCCTTCCTTCCTTCCTTCCTTTCTTTCTTTCTTTCTTCTTTCTTGCCTGAGAGCTACATCACATTCTTGTTGTGACAACCTATTCCAGAAAGCTGCCAAGTGGAGAATGTCAAAAATTAAATAGAATTTCAGTTTGGTTCCATTTCACTTTTGATTACAATTGAATACAGGCTGGATTGATTAGGTACACTTTTAATCATTTGCCTCTTTTATTAAATTAAAAACTAAGATGGCAACTTTCAGAGGTCCTACATTTCTGGCCCTGAGACTTCATTAGGGGTGTGTGATCCAGAGCCTCAGACGGTGATTTTAAGGGCTAAGCAATAATTCAGTTATTTTGGGCTTAGCGTGTTGTGTGAATTTAGCTAAATGCAGATTGTTCGGCAAACAGGGACTTTGTGTAGAAATACAAAAAGTATAATGGACATGCCACCTTTTAGCATTACTTTTGTACCCCCAGAGTAGAGCTAAGTCATAGGATTTTTCCACCCGTATTCTGGATCTCTCCCTGGGAGATTCTGGATACACACAAGCTGGATATTTGGATAAGAATCTATCCAAAGACCAAGCTTAAAGATGGCCATAGCCACATTTTCCCCACCCAACATCAAAAAATATGCAGGTAGTCCTCCACTTAGGACAACCATTGAATTCTGGGAATTGACAGAGTGTGAGGTTAGGAGGGAGCGAAAGAAAACCGGTGACAGAATCAATGAATGGAAATTAGGACTGCACTCTTCAATTTGCCCTTTAGCCCTACTGAGCGATGTCTGTAGCCCACTCTTGACAAATCACACTCCAGCAGTGCCAACTTCAAAAGGAAAATAGTCAATTTAACACACACAACCGACAAAAGCCACACTGTGATGTAGTTTGTGCTCTGTGTACCTTCTGAATGCAATCACGGGCTTGCGAGCAGCAGGAAGCAACTCGGCTCTACAGGATAAGCTTTCTTAAACCTCCCCTATTTGATCCCATTAGCTGGAAGACTCATCATGCGATCACCCCGCAAAGAGGAAGAAAGACCCTGGGGGGTGGGGCAGCTTCCCAACCCCTTTTTGCCCACACACACCCCTCCTCCCAATTTACACAACACCCTCTAGTAAAATATGCCTGGCTAATTTCCAGCTCATTTGTTTTGCTGGCTTCATTCAACCAACCACTCTTTAAAAAGTATCCTGGGGATAACTCGTTAAACCAGGGTTTGGTTGGCCCTGGATCATGCCTGCAGCTCACCCCACTCCAGGTTTACGATAAACATGGGCTTAAACCCCACGGCTCACATCCTTGTTTCCAAGCTAAAAGTCCTCCCCAAAAATGCACAAAAATGGGCTGGCATTGGTGTGTGCAGAAGGCGGCGCACGAAAGCGAGCCAAGTCGAGAGAGTCTCTGTGCGTTTCTCCTTTCCTGCCACAAGCAACACTGCTCGTCTCAGAGAATCAGAAAAAAAAATGTGGAAGGCATGAAAGAGAGAGAGAGAGCATCTCCTGGGGAATCCATCGCCACATGATCCCACCTTACCCTCTTCCCTACCAGCCCGGGGATCTAACTGCTTTCCTACGCTCCCTCCAAGAATGGATTTCCAAGCCAACCAGACCTCAAATGATTCTGATTCCATTCTAAACATCTCACAGCTGGGACCAGGCTTCCCTCCCGACGGTAAGCTGAAGCAGAAAAATGCAGGGGGAATCAGGGAAAAGAAAGAAAGGATGGGGTTGATCCCAAACTTTCTCTGATCCTTAAACCTGAAAGGGAAGGATGAGAGGGAGATAAAAGATAGAAACTAGCCCAGAAATGTGTTTTATAGCCAGTTAGGGAAAATATCTCAAAAGGTGGTGGGTTTTGGTGATTCAATTGATCCTGGTGATTTCCTTTGGCTGCATAGATAGTGTTCATTTTCACGTTTGTTAAATGCCCAAGATGTTGTGGCTCTATGTGTTTGTGTATTACAGGCAAAATCGGG